GAAGGACATAGATGCTTTGGGGCTTCGCACTTGGAACCGAGGGCACCGGATACACCATGGACCCAGACTTGCGGCCGTCTTCACTTGCAGAAATTCACGGTTTAGGGTTTAGCGTTTAGGGTTCAGAAACGGAGTAAGCACGAATGCTTCCATTTCGTGTTAAGACTCTGCCTAACCACCCTAATCCATGAAGCCTAACCCTTGGGACCCCGCCTAAAGCTTTCATCCTGATCCTGGAGCTCTGTGCACTCTATTCTCAAGGCTTCCGGGTCTGAAGGCAAGCTTCCGTGAAGGTTCTCTACTCGTTTAGGAGTTGGCAGACACCCCACCACACAGAACACATCCAAAACCCGTCAAAAGCACCCTAAACCCCAAACCCGAAAGCCTAAACTCTAAACCCTAAACCCTTCCAAAGAACAAGGATCCCCAACAGACTGAACACAGCCGGGCCAGGCCGCACCGTGGAGCGCACCGCCTGCGGCGCGCCGAGATGCGGTGCGCCGGCGGCGAGCCTCTGTCTCTCCGGACGTGGAATATGCTGGCTTTCCGGGGTCCTACAGGAGTACAGTAATTTGTTTTATGTCAAAGTAAGGGTGCTGCAACGGAAATGTTGAATCATAAGTCAAAACTTAGGGCGTTAGGAAGTTTTATGCGAGCTTAGAGGGCTTGAAGGTCTTGTGGGGCTTACAGGCTTCCAATAACCGGTAGACTGCAAGGGCTTAGTGCTTGGGGTGTGAACCTGCGGGTTCAGTGTGCGGGTCTTTTTGGTGGAGTATAGAGTTTGGGTTTGTAGGCGGTAGGTGTTGGGCGTGCATCATCGACCCGACGAGATGTTTAGATTTTTCTTGCAGGCTTCAGAAAGTTTTTTCTGCCGGAGTTTTTCGCTTGAAAGCTGCAAGAGTTCCTTCCTCGTTTATGGTCTAGGGTTTCGGGTGTTGGGGGTACATTTGTATCCTACAGCTTGTTCCGGAAAGCTGAGGGATATCACATAGCTATTCAGGCCACTATATTACGCAGATCTTCCTGGTCCTCGAAGCGGGTTCCTTCCACTCGGTGACTTAGTTAAGGGAAACTACAGGTGGGGAGTTTAGGGTATATAAGGCTTCCATAAGGCTTTTGTAAGGTTTCTAGACCTTCTATAAGGTTCCTATAACGGTAACTACCCACCTGAAAATGTCCTAGACTTAGTAAGTAGGCTATCATTGGGTCTATAAGTCATGCAGAGCCCCGTATCAATCAGACTCGGCCTTGGGTATATTCTAATATAACTACTGCTGATGATATAAATCCTGCATTACCTTAAGGACCCTAAACTATGGCAATTACGGCATATTCCGAATTATGGGTAATGCAGGATTTATATCATCAACCGTATGAATCATAGGGCGCCCTGAGTCCTTGTTGGGGTTATCCTCCTACTTGTAATTATGACTAAGCCCTAAACCCTAAACCATAAGTATTCCTACTGGCTCAGTCGCCTGAGCCTCCAAGCATCCTGCGGCTGGAGCCCTCGATGGGTCCTAGCTGCTCCAAGCAGTGTAGGGAAAAGCTGGGGTTAAGGGTTCAGTGATTCAGGGTTGAGGGTTTAGGGTTTTAGGTTGTAGGGTTTAGGGTTTAGGCCCCCTAACAGTGCCCAAAAAAGAAGCTGAACTGGGTTTAGACCCCCCTCGAAGCGCCCCAAAAACCAAGATGAACTGCGAGCCCGGAGCCAGAGGTGGACGTGCTTGTCGACCCAGGCTGGCCTCTCGAGTCATGGCTCCGGGCTTGTAGTCGGTATGAACGGATCTTTAGGGGTTTAGGGTTTAGGGTTGAGGGTTTAGGGTTGAGGGTTTAGGGTTTAGGGTTTAGGGTTTAGGGCTTAGGGTATCTGTAAGGGCTCTATAAAGGGTCCTAAACACGGAATAGGGCCGAGGGCTCCCGAGAACAACACGTTGCAGCTACGTCCTCGATTATAGAGCCTTGGGTTTACCACAGAGGCATGAACAACTAGGTTTAATACCCTGTAGGATCCCCACATTTTTGTACCACAACCTTCCAGCAAACCCTAAGAACAATTATTCAAGCCACGATGCTAAACCCCTGAAAAACGCCCCGTTGCAGACATCCTGAACTTTTAAACTTTAACGCTCTAAACCCCTGAACCCCCAAACCCTTAACCCCAAACCCAAAGCCCTAAACCCCGAAAACCTAAACAAGGAAGCCTGGTGGGAACCTTGGAAGGAGCTTTAACCACACACCCGAAGTCGACGAGCCAGGGTGCCCCTTCTGCTTCACTGCAAAGTCCAGGAAGTAGGACACCACCTGCCCCGCGTTTAGGGTTTAGGGTGGTCAGGAAAGTGACCATAACAAGGTACATGGAACAAGCCTATCAATTATTCCAAAGTTCAGGCTTTAGGGTTTAGGGTTTTGGATGGGTAGCTTGCCTTGTTACCCATGGAATGGGCCAGCAAGATCACCCCGGTGCCGTCTTTGTCCAAGGATTCGATGCTTGCGAGCAAGCGCTGGAAGTATCCTGAGCGTTCGGGGTACCAATTAGACAAAGTGACAAAGTGCTGCATTCGCAGCCCCAATTCCTCAATCATAAGCACCAAACCCCAAACCCTAACTCCTAAGCCCTATACCGCCCTCGTACATCCTAAACTGCCTTACACCTTGAACCCCAAGTCCTGAACTGCCCGAAACCTTAAACCCTTGCAGGCTGCACGTACCCCTTTTGGACGGCTCATAGAGCACTTAGCATTGAGGGTTTACGGCTTAGGATTTAGGGCTCAGGGTCCAAAAAGAAACCCGAAACCCCAAACCCTAAACCGTGCCAAGGATCCCTCTCTCTTCTCCATCACCGAAGGGGCGAAACGCCAGTCATAGGGCGCGGCGATCAGATCGACCCCTTCCTTGTAGCCCAACTTCTCCAGCATCCGCACCACTGGAGCAAAGACATAGCCTTGCTTCAATGCATTGTCATTGTCGCTACCCTAAACCCTAAACCTTAAA